AGCCGCATGTGAACAGGCCGGCAGAAACCAAACAGGCTTTCCCTATAGAGGGGAAAAAGCCAACCGCTCCTGCAAGCCCCTGTGGATTTAGCACTGTAAAGCTCAGAGATGCGGCACCGTGGCAAAAGTTTGAGAAACAGTAAATTGCAACAGTTCTGTCCGGCTAAGTGCACAAGCCTGGTTCTGTGTTGGGGAAAATAAATCAAACATTGGATGGAGCTAATGAAAAGTTTCCCAGGAGTCTTGCAACCTTCCTCTTCTAAATAAAAAGGAAGCAGGAAGAGTTTAGAGGGAAAGCATCTCTAAGAAGTTGTGTTCCTGAAGATGTCACCTGCACTTTCCAGTGAAAAGTAATGGCTTCCTGGTTTCTACTTCTTTGTTGAGAGGGGCAGGTTCTGCAATTTGTTTGGCTGTATCTGTCCCCATTGCTCTGAGATGGAGCAAGGTAGAGGCAAACTCCCTCCTCTTCTGAGATTCTGAGAGAGAAATGCAGATGCTTGGCATTATCTTCAGATCAGCATTCTGAAAAAAACTGGTGCGTGTTTAAACTGTGTTCATCCACGTACTGCCAGCTGCCCTTTCTTGGAAACACGAGGATCTCATGAACACTAGGTCTGCAAAATATGACTAGCTTTTAGGTGCTGATAATTTCTGGCTAATGTGGAGGCTAGAACAGTGAAGGTACAGAGGCGTCTTCATTTAATGGAAGGATGTAAGTGGGGATTACAACCTTCAAGCACAGCTAATTAGGACGTAACAGACTAAAGTACTGAACTCCAGCAGTGAAAACTGCACCTGTCACAAGATTAATGGCATGTTAATTTAAATAGTCACTTTGTTGTCCTTTCAGCATCATTTGAACTGTGGAAATACTTTTTTTGCTTTAAGTAAAAGCAAAAGGCAAATACATTCGAAGGTTAAGGGAAGGAAATATTCCTGTCATTAGAGCAAAGAGTGAGAAATACCTGGACCTAATTTGAAGAAGCATGAACTGCCTGTAAGTAAGAACATACTATTTTGTTTAGAAAAGACTTCCAAAACCCAAGGTGCTGACATAGACTTCCCTAAGAGAGAATGGTTTTTAAGTGTCAAGTACAATTTTGTTAGTGCCAGCCCCTCTGTATGCATGTTTTAAATGCTGACAAGCAGATCTGAAAACTAGTCTTTTCAGCACTCACACTTGAAAATGTTGCCCAGTATTTTTTTTTTCATTTCAAGGTCTGATAATTTGTTTGTGACAGGATGCAGCTGCTTTCCCATCACTGTACAGTGACCTGATCTAGTTTTATTGTGTCTGAAAAAAGTGAGCATAAATCTGTACTTAATAATGGGTGTATCAGAAAAGCTCTTTGTAAAATGGTGTATTGAGAAAATATGAAGACCTCACTAAAAGCAGAGGTACCACAAGAGGGTGCCATTTCTTTGATTTTCGTAGCTACTACACTTTTACAGTACTACAAGTCTGAAGAGGTGCCTAGTCTCCGAAATTTGAGGGTGTTAAGAATCAGCCAGACATGCCTGTCTCTTGCACTTAACTTAGCCTCTAACTCTTAAGCTTGCATCTTGGCTCTCAGAACAAACAGGCTCTGAATTGAGAGCAAGCGTTTTTTCTAGTGCTGCTGCAGGGTACAGCAGCAGACAAATGGGTAACTGCCTGGTACTCTCCCTCCAGGTCAAGAACAAACAGGAAAAGACCACTTCTGGGTGGGTGTGTTAATGACTACAATCCCAAATCTGTATCTATAAATGCCCATTTATTGCACTGATCTAAGCACAGTAGATCCGTGTCTGGTAAACCACAAAGCCGTTACTACTCATAAAAAATGAGAACCAAGATGAACGTTTTTCAACTAGTTACCCAAGTAAAAATTATACCAAAGATGCTTTGAAACATGAGTTTTGCTTCTAAAGGAGTTCATCCATCATCCTAGAAATGCATGACACACTAAAAATAATCCATGTGCAACGGCACATGGGGATGACTCCATTCAGATGTGATTCGAATCTTTCTTAAACTATCTGCAGTTTTCATTAAGTTAAGCTACAAAGGCACCTCTTGTGTAACAAGTCATAAAGAACTTTTTAAAAAATACTTTGGGAATAAAAAAGGATTTTAACCTTAAATACTGTGAGTTACGTAACTGATGGGATATTTGGGATTTTCTGATCACAAAAAAAGATGCGAAAAATGTGTATCAGAAATAGTTTGATGTTAAGCTTTAAAGCAGTTGCATGAACACCTATCCATAAGCATACATTGGACTGGACATTGGCTGAGGTGGAAGACTAAAGCACACCAGAAAAGGGAAGTGACGGAGAAGGTCCAACTACGAAAACGTAAGTTGTTTTTCTAAAAGAAGGAAACACCTATCAATCTTGTATTCAGTATCTTACATCACTGGTTGACTCACCCTCCGCTGCACGGTACGCTTTGTACATGAAAGATGTGAGTTCAGAGCCAATATGATGCTGCTTATACTTTATTTCTAAAGCTTGCCATACAATCATATTTTGTGTATTGTCTCACCACCACTACCTTTTTTCTCACATTTTTCGGCTTGGAGTTCAATGCATACAATGAGTTCACGAAAGGTCTCATGAAGTCACCAGTGTCCTGGTGAGGTTAGCAAGGACACAAACACAGAAGCTACAACTTGTTGAAAATCTGGCAGTGAGACAGTGGTAGTGTCGGGCATGAAACTTCATCATGCATGTTCCTGTCTCTTACACTTCTAGAAAAATAAAATTGTTTCTAACAAAGCTGTAAATTATTTCATCACTTAATAGCAGATGTGCCCATCTCCATGTTTGACAGAGTAAAATTAAAATGAAGAAATTAAATTATTGTGTGTGACCCTTGGCAGGATTTTCAAAAGCAGGCTCTTCCTAAAATGAGGGGTTTAACTTCATATGGTGAAGGGTTTAAAAAGTTGAGAGTTTTTGAAAATTTCAGCTTGTATGTCTTTTACACAGCCACGATAAAAATACCAACAGTAGTAACCCAGCTCTTAACACTGCAATCCATTTAATTATCGGGAAAAATAAGTTGTTTTGATTTAATAATCGATTTGATAATTAAAATGCTGTTTCATACCCTTGATATCCTTAAGGGAATTTCTGTATGTGTAATTCAGAAACTTACTCCAGAAAAGCCTCACCCTGAAAAATGGCACGCTGAATCTCCAGTACTATTTCAGGGAGAGATTTTTCTAGACTGACAGTAATAAAATTTTCTGGTGCGCTAGGAGGCTCCAGAGCATCAAACTGAGACTTGAGAAGTTCAGGTGGCATAAAATGTCCTCTCCTCTTCTTCAGGCGGCCAGCAATGATGTCCATAGGCCCATCCAAATGAACAAAGAGGATTTTCAGTGCTGCATTTTCTCCTGGTTGCTCTGGCTGGTTGCTTTCAATTGCAGATGCTCCACTAACTAATACACGCCTATACATCTTCTTTAGTGCAGAACAGGCCAGAATTGCATCTTGTCTGCATGAGTCTTCTCTATGAAAAAGAAAAAAAAAAATCCACATGTGGCATAACAAAATGGCTCTTCAGTTCTGCTGAACAAGGGAGACGCGCCCTGGATCCTTGCAGAGGACAGCCTTGGGAGTCGTGGCATTTTTTCGTCATTTTGACAGGATTTTGAAATGAAATTTCCAATGCAAGTAAAGATGTGATTTAAAGTGAGGTCAGGCTAGCCAGCCTCCTGGTAAAATCTCAATCTTGGGGACCTTCTTTATTAGCCACTGTTCTTTCCTAAATTAAATTAAATTCAGGCACAAGGAAGTGTCATGGCCATTTCCTTAATTGCTGAGAACAGCAGCAACTGAATGCCCATACAAACTCCCACCCATTATCTATAAAATTACTATACTAATCTGTCTAGAGAGTAAGTGGCTGCTGAACAGTACAGAGCTCTGTTCTTAAATACATATGCAGGTATACTTCCAACATCTGTTTTCACTGTCTTGGATTTAACTGTAACGTTACATTTTATGTTTCCTGTAACCATACTTACTGGTAGCACTGCATACATGCTCACTTCAAGCTAAACAAGGGACTGGATGCAGGTAAATTAATGCCTTGCTCGTGTATTTTTTTACTGGCAAGGTTTCTTAAAATAAAGCAAGCATTAAACTGGGGGTGTGTCTGTTCCACCGAAAAGCAAATCCAGAATTAGTTGTCTCTGTGAACAGTAACTGAAATGTCTGCCTAAGAAATACATTCTGTAATCAAAGTAAAATTAGGTATAAACCTATTTAAAAATCATGCAAGGTTCACAGGATTTTGGTTCACAGGAAGATAAGAACTTATAATACCTACTATTATCACCTAGGTAAGCCAATGCCAGTCTCAGCTACTTGTAAGTACTACTAATTAAACATTGGCATTACGCTTTTTTAAAGTATACTTGATTTTGCAAAGTTTCTGGAGCTGGGCAGTGGCCTTGGGCTAAATGGATCCAGCATAACAATCCAGATCGATAAATTTCTCAGTGAATTAACCCGTGGTCCAATGAGGTACGCTGACCTGATGCGCACAAGCACGTAACAGCCACTGTGTAAAGCCAGGCTAAACAGTCCCTGCTCCCCCAGCCTTTCCTCATTTGGGAGGTGCTCCAGTCCCTTCATCATCTACATGGCCCTTCATTGCATGCTCTGCAGTATGCCCATGTCTCTCTCGTAATGGGGAGCCCAGAACTGGACACAGTACCCCAGGTGTGGCCTCACCAGTGCTGAGGAGAGGGGAAGGATCACCTCCCTTGACCTGCTAGCAATACTTCGTCTAATGCAGCCCAGGATATCGCTGCCCTGCTTTGCCAGAAGAGCACATTGCTGACTCATGTTCAACTTGAGTGTCCACCAAGGCCTCCCCGGGTCTTTTTCTGCAAAGCTGTTTCCCAGCTGGGTGCCTCTCCGTGTCTGTACTGGTGCCTGGGGTTGTTCCTCCCCAGGGGCAGGACTTCGCACTTCTTCTTGAACTGCACGAGGTTCCTGTCAGCCCATTTCTACTGCCTGTCAAGGTCCTTCTGGATCAGCCACTCCTCCCAGTTTGGTGTGATCTGCAACCTTGCTGAGGGAACACTCTGCCCCATCATCTGGATCATTAATGAAGATGTTAAACAGGACTGGACCCAGTATTGACCCCTGGGGTACACCACTAGTTACTGGCCTGCAACTAGACTTCGTGCCACTGATCACCGTCCCCTGGGCCTGGCTGTGAACAGGCTGAAGCCAGTTTTCAATCCACCTCCCTGCCTGCTCATCCAGCCGATACTTCATCAGCTTCTCTGTGAGGATCCTATGGCAGATGGTGTCAAGCAAACTTGACGCCGTATCTTATTCAAACTAGCAATATTTTACAAAATTTTATGCTACTGTCATTATCGGTGTATTTTCTGGTTATATCCTTTGTAAGTAGCTAATGTCAGGTTTATTACTGAACTGGATCCTTGAAATTATTTTTACATAGACAGCAGAAAAACCAACTATCATTGGCAACAATTTTCCCAACACTATTATTCAGGGATTAATACGCAATTAATACGTATTATTATAATAATATATATTATTATAATACTAGTATATTATTATATAATAATAATACTAGTATAATATAATATAATATAATACTAGTATATTATTATAATATAATACTAGTATTCAGGGATTAATACGCAATCAGCAATTAATTGCTGATTACCCTCAGCAATTATTACGACAGCTTAGATTAGTGAAAATAGAATGGCTTTACTACCTGCAGAATGTTTTTACACTACTACATACATTTCCGCTTTGGAATGCAATGGTGAAAATACTTTTGGTACTTTTTTTGTCTTTAGCCCAAACTCCTTAAAGCTAGATGTTCTCTTACCTCCTTAGTATATCATGCAGTGCACAAAGCCAAGGAATCCTGTCCTAGAAAGAAAACAAGTTAGTTCAAAATTGTTTATGAAATTGATTTGAAACAATTGCTTCTAACATCTAGAGCATTTGACTAGAGATGAAAATTAGCGTTAAACTATACAGCAAGTTCAGTTTCGATTCTCTTTCTTCCTAATGTAGATTTGCTACCACTGCCTGAAGGCTAAGAAGAAGTGCTAGGCATATTATCAATAAGATGTTTTTAGTAGAATAGTACTTTTTATATTACAGACACCTACAAGTATCTGATGGAAGTAATATGTATTTATGTGTCGCACACACCCTGTAAACCTTTGAAGGACATTCAGCTTCTCTCTTGCTTCTATTATACAATTCAAATGTACAGCCTGAATTGTTTTTTCTTTTTCCTTATATCTTGGCATAAGCACACAATGCTTTGGATCGAAGTTGAGGTTTCCAGGAACAGACAGATCTAAATTTAATTATCTGCAATAACTTAATTATGTCATTTTTATGTCAGTAGCAATCACAAATAAAGGTAATCATAGCCACAGTTTTGCAACACCTCTGCTCAGTAGTTAGGCAAACACCATGTGAGAGATTGATCATCTCATTATAATCTTATTTTAAATTTTAAGCTCCCACAAACTTCTGTCATACCTATCGAGCACTAAACAATGGGTCCCATTTCATCTTTCAGTGCTGTTACTGCTGGGTGAGCACAGCAAATGGTAACGTGGACAAATAAATGCACCATTTTTTTGTTATTGTCATTACAGAATAACTTCCCACTGGCATTCAAGACCGCCCTCACGATTTTGCATCTCTGGTGTTTCAAAAGAGATGCTTCCCTCTTGCTGGGCACCATATACCAGTGGTTTAGTCATTCAGTTGTGCAACGCTGCTTTAGACGATGTACTGGTTTATATGAACTTCCAGCCACTAGCAAAAGATCATAGTTTTTAACAGGAATCTAGAAATTTTTTTTCAGTCTATAGAGAGTGCTTTGAAGAACTCCTTAGTTCAGTTTTATGTTTCTAGAGGTTTCCCAGAAGAAGTGCAAGAGGTGTCATCTTGTAACTTTTCTAATTTACTCAAGCCTCTGAATTCGTTAGGAATTGTAAAACTATATTGATCATTTTTATCTGTTTAGGCTGAAGAACAGGCTGAAGGGAAAGAAGCACATTTTAAGTAGGAGCATATAAAACAGACTATTGCAGAGAAATCACTGCAATAACTGAAAGTGATGAAATGTACTTCAGTAGAAACATTTGTCTGTCTTCATGTATTTAACTCAAAGAAGCAGCATGTAATCTAAAGCTGCAATTCTGTATATTGATGTAGAGGGAGAGATTTCTGGCAAATCCTGAACCAGCATCAAACCCCTTGTGCGCTACCAAGCACACTTTGATAAACGTATTTTTTTTACGCAGAATCCTTTGTAACACAAGAAGCCTCCCCCTCTTACCGACTGCAGACCTGCAAGTTCAGCCTATGCTTACAGTCAGCCTGGTCTACATAAAGCACAACCTACTTTCACACCATGTGCCAGAGGTTACAAAGATAAACGTGTCGGTGACTGTTCTCTCAGGGTTTATACAGGGTACCTCATCATTTAGTGGTATCCCTTCTGCCATCTTCTTTTTGTTCTCTGGAGAATGATAATCGTCTGCATCGTAGATTTCCATCCCAGCTAAGGAAAAAAAAACGTCAAATTATGGGTCATTCAGCCAAACCAGGTGAGCTAATAAGGATCCCGGAATTTACAAAGACGACTGCGAAGAAGTTACAGGCCTCTTACACCACAGCGTGAATCACCACTTATGTCATGACGACTGGCAAAAATTACAGAGTCAGCTTAGTAGCAGCAACGGCTGACACATCGCGGCACTACGCTGAGGTCGGCCTAGGCTACACGGCGCTGGCGACGGCCACCCAAACCCCGCTGGGGGGACAAGGC